GGCGGACCGGCGAGGGGCGCGCGCCCGCGGCCTTGGGGATCGCCCACCGGCGACTCGAACCGCCCGCCGCCACTGTGCTCAGAGCTCAGACCGCGCGATCCGGGGGGCTCAGCTGGCCCCTGGCCCAGTCCGGTTCCCCGTTTCGGGTCGCGGGGGGGCTGCGATGGACTGGGACTCCAAGGGTGGTGTCTGGCCGTCGCTCCTGGGACTGAGGAGGGGGGTGGAAACTGAGGCTCTGGGGGCCCCCGCCCACGAGACTGTGGGGCTACCCGGGTGTGGCGCCCCGCGGAGAGGGAGAGAGAGAGGGCAGCCTGTTGCCCTGGAGCTGATCGGTATTACCCCCAGGGGTAAAGACCGGGGAGGATGATGGAGGATGAACAAAGAAAGCTGGGCTAACGTCTGCGAGCTGCGGCCCAGGGCTCTCCTCTGGGGGAGACAGGGCGGGTCACTGGGGTCACTGGGGGTACAGCCCAGCCCTCGGTCATGAGGAGACGACACCCCCCACAGGGCCCGCCCCGCGCCGAGTCGCAGAACGAGCGTTCACGAGCGCACGCGCGTTTGTGCGAGAGGAAACATCAGCGGAGACGGATTTCTGTTTTCTCGGCGTCACGTCCGCAGCCGGACCGGCACCAGGAGGGACGAGCTTCCCCAGAGCGAGGGGGGGAGCGCAGAGAGAGCACGACTCCCCCCGCGTGGCCCGCCCGGAGCGCCGAGGCTGCTGGGGAGGCAGCGCTCTGAGCGGCACGGCGAAGGAGGGGAGGGAGATCCTTCGCACGCACACACGAGCGCTCACGGGGCGCCGGAGTCCGCTGGCTGGTCCGGATCCGAGCGGACAGGCGGATTTCCACTGGGCCGCTCAGCTCGGACAGCCTCAGGAGTGGAGGAGTTCCTCCGAGTGGAGCCGGACTGGGATAACGCAGGGCTGTCCCAGGCAGCTCTCTGCTCCACTACACTGTACTCTACCTGCTTCTACTGAAACCGCAAGGATGGAGACTCTCTGTGTTTACACGCAGGATGTCCGTGTGCAGAAGATTCTCGTGCAGAGGCGCCTACTTTCTGTGCAACGGCTCTGCGTCAACAGATTCTTCTATTTAGATACAGCGTCTTCTGAACAGGAGAGCTCTACCGACGTGTCTCCTGTGAGCAAGCACATGGTCTGGCATCACAGACAGACACCCCCTGTACTTCAACACACGTCTTCCTGACAGGCTCTTG